AGTAGTTCCCATTGATTTAGCTTGGAAAGCGGGGAGAATGGCGCTAGGCTTACCGCACCGTGACGTCACTGCTGGAAGATGGCAGGAGGGAGGGGCTACTATATGTGGGCAGAAATGGCCGCTCCCAGACTTGCAACGAAAATTATTATTTTAATTTTTTATCAATTAATGCTAAATTCATTAAATCGCTGGAAACGTATTAGTTTTAGGTCTAAATAATGATCCATTGATTATTCCTGACCAGACTTTTTACAATCTGCCCTCTTTTTCTGAGCACAGTAGTGAATCATCTCTGCATCTTCGTCACCACCTCCATCTTATTTTCCCAGGCTCATTCCTGCCCCCCTCCCTCTCTTGTTTTTCTTCTCAGTTTTCTGCTCTAACGAGTGGCGGCCCCACGGGCGAATCCTAGGCCGGGGCTCCAGACATCAACTTCCGTTCACTGCTACATGGGAGAGTGTCAGAAGCAATGAAGCTCACACCGAGCTGAGACTCCCACCCAGCATGTGTGTCAAAGTATGTCTTTTTAGAAATGCACTCCTGACTGGCCTGGAATTTGAGAGACGTTTTCATAAATCTCTATTTCTTCCTGTTTACTGCTTCCCCCGCCGGCAGAAACCCCCGTTGCCTCATCAGTCCTGCAGCAGACAGGATGAGGTGTAAGAAGAGAGACGACATATTTGAAAACGCCACAAGAACACTAACAGACAGACTGTCAGAGTGGAAATAAATGAGAGAGTATAAATGTGTTTTCAATGCATGTAACTCCAATATTCTTAAAATTGATTTTTGAAGAATTTACCTGCAGACTGAAATATGGAGCAGAATAGTCAGCACTGTCTCTACTTCCCTCTCTTTTCTGTCACCACTGATTCTGACTGGAGATTTTCCTCTGTATCAGGGGTAACCAATTAAAAACCAGCGGATCCGAATAAAGAAAATCATCAACCAGTAAAGGTCTGGAGACATTTTTAATTATACACTGCAAAAAACATCTAGAAATAAGTAAAAAATGTCTTAAATTAAGTGTATTTAACCTTAATTTGAGCAGGTAAATAAGATGACCTGCCAATGGAATGAGTATTTTTACTCCTAAAATAAGATGATTAGATAATATACACTTGAAATAAGACAAAGCAATAGTTTTTTTCTTATTTTAAATGTAAATTGTCTTGTTCCATTGGTAAAGTGTCTCACTTACCTCCTCAATTCAAGAAAAAATGCATTTAATTTGAGTAAAAATTACTTATTTAGTTTTAAATTTTTTTGCAGTGTAATCTGTCACTTTAAACAGAATTTAACGCTAAAATAAAATTTGGTTTTTATGCATCCATGTTATACATTGATGTTTTAGATAAAAAACAATAGAATTTTTTTTCCATTTTAAAACCTAAAGTATTTTTTGAAATAGAAAACAACAATCCTTTAGTTTGGTTTATTACGACGGAGTATTAGGGCCAGGCTAGAGTTTTTTTTATTTATTTTGAGAATAAAGTGGCTATATTACGAGAATAAAGTCATCATTCATCAACCGGTTTCAGAAAGAAAGCTTGGAGCTCCGCCCAGCAGATGACGGCCGACCAGCTCCACCAATCAGCAACCAGAGTCCACTTTGACATCCTGCCCAGTTTGATGCTGCTGCTAAAAGATTTCCTGATTCGTCACATGATGCTCCACATTCATCATTTTAGGGAAGAAAGAGCTTCTGGGAAGAGTTGTTATAAAATACAACTTTATTCGAATAATTTTAGGACATAAATATCCAGCCTGGCCCTCATACTCTGTCGTATGTATATAGATAATTTCCTGATTCCCATATTTTCTCAAACCCCTGAACTGATGGTTTGTTATTTTCTTTCTTTTTTCTGTCTTAATGTTGGCAGTGGGCTTTAGGCTGCCCTGCAAGGCTTTAAACCTGGGTTTAACCGGAGACTAAGCCATTCTCAAGCACATATCAAGGAGCTCATTTTGAGCCTGGATCCAGATTTATTGTTGATTCTGTTCATGGTGGAGAATCCTGCTTCACAGCAGCAGGTTGAGCCAAACATCCTCTAAATGTGCTGGGTCATCTTTGAGCACGCCATTTCACTTTTCTTTCACCAGTTCACCGCAGTTCTTCCAGCAGTCCACACTTTCTCTGCTCTCTTTTTCTCATGGTCTTCTCCTTCTTTCCCATCGCCCGGCTTGCCACAGGTTTGCCTGCTGTGTCTAGAAGTAGCAGCAGCAGCAACCCAGACTGACAGCTCATTGGCTCATTTGGATCACGTGCAGCCTGGAGCCGGACGCTCCCCAGGGCTTTACCGTATTAACAGGAGAAGAGGCGCATTCTGTTCACTTTATAGGTCTCTTTGGATAAAAGCTTAAAAAAACAAGCATAAATTCAAAAGGAAGTAGAGAAATAAAAACATGAAACGATGGCATATTTAGGTAAACGTTCACTAATTAACATAATTCTAATGATAATGTATTTGGTTTGCTGGCTTGAATGATGAATTTGCAAGTCCATGAGTTTTAAAACAATAAGACTGTTGAGGCAGAAAGTCAGCAGTTATAAGTAGACTATTGGAAAACAAGGACAAAGATCTGCTGAGAAAAGCAGAAACATGCTGATTTATTTACAGTTTGAGAAGCAAAGACAAATAAAAGGAGATTATAAGAGTAAACTAAAATCTGGACAGTCATAGAAAAAATATAACCGCAAAAGGAAAACAAAAGCATAAAAACAATAAGACAACAAACCCACAGTTCATAAATATTACATTATAAATCCAGATTAGACAGGATCAGACCATAAAGTAATTATCATTGACTGAAGTTTGCTTTGAAGATAATTACAGCTTGACCCCCCCAGCCCTAATCCAGGCTTATTCCCTTCCGTACAGTAAAACATGGATGCATCACGCCGCTCCAAGTCCCTGATAGCAGCGTTACATCCTCAGCAAAGCACTTCTTTGTAATAGCCCAAGAGGAGAACAGCTTCCTCTACATTAAACAGCCCATTACTAGACATTGATTGCAGTTAACACCGATGGCAGACCATATTAATCGTTCCATCTTTCCGCTCCGGCGCCTCGGCGGATCCGAACCTGAGTGCTTATTGAGGATCATTTAACGAGGTTTGAAGAAGTGGAAGGGGATGCAGCCCGTTTCTATCATATGACACCTGCTGAGTTTAGTTAGGCTGTTAGAAAAACAACATTTGAAAAACAGAAAATGTTTTAAATAAAAAGCAGGATGTTTAGGTTTCACTGCAGCAAAAGAAAGAGAACCAGAAGATCGACTTTTATTCTGTGTTACGATTTGGAAGTAATGGGGCCTATTTCTAGAGTCAAACACGAGGAGAACGATCCAAATGAAATGGTGTGTGGGGGGGGGCATAAACGCTGCAAAAAAATTAAATCTAAATAAGTAATTTCTTCTTAAAATAAGTGCATTTTTTCTTGAATTAAGGATTTAAGCGAGGAACTTTGCTATTGGAACAAGACAATTTACACTTAAAATAAGAAAAAAACAATTGCATTGTCTTATTTAAAGTGAATTTTATCTAGATACATTATTTTAAGAGTAAAAATACTCATTCCATTGGCAAATCATCTTATTTACCTGCTCAAATTATGGGTAAATACCCTTAATTTAAGAATTTTTTACTCATTTTGAGACCATTTTTGCAGTGAAGGAACTAGTGTAAAGAGATTTGATTTGACTGGACACATGACCAATTATTGCTGCAACTTCAGAACACAAAAAAATGAGAAAAATGAGAGGCTGCGGTGGGACCGTTCCTTGTCCGACGCGCTCGTTCAAAGAAGGAATCTGCTGAGATCAATATGGTGCTGATTTGAATTTTACTCAAATCAAAGATATAATGCTACATTCAGACCGAATGCAGCAGGAGCAGCAAAAATGCACGTGCTGCTTGATGATTGACGCTTCTAACTTTTGTGGCCCACTAAGGAGCTTAAAAATCATGGTAAAACATGAACATTTTGAACAACAACAATTAACAATCTAAATGGAACAAAAAAAGGCTACAAAGAATCAATGACAATGTGAGCAAATAATGGTAATTATTTTTAATTTTTTTTCAAACTAATAAGATTTCCCTGCACACACACAGGCTGTGCTTGAGTGGGTCATCGTCATGTTGGTCAAAGCTCTCTATGGCAGGTTCATTAACTGAGGGAGCTGACTTCAGCATGATCAACCTGCGCCGTCAATCCCTGCTCATGCGCGCGGTTCATTTGCTGTCTGGAAGCTAAAGGTAAACATGCTGTGGCTCTGACTGCAGCGCTGTGAGGGACTCCTGCGGAAGTGGGAGACCGGGGTCGGGATGCGGGAGGCGCCCCACGGCAGACACCAGGAAAGTCGCTAGATTTGTCGCTAGTCGCTTTTTTGAAAAAGAGTCGCTGGAGGGGTCTGAAAAGTCGCTAAATATAGCGACAAAGTCGCTGAGTTGGCAACACTGGTCTGTGGGAGCCGCTCAGACCCCCACATATCGACGCTGCGCTGTCACTGGGAATCCCCAGCAGCAGCTGCCTCAGGCCCGCTCGCCTCTCCAGGGTTTTCCCCTCCTGTTGAATAAATCTGACTGGATGATTCAATTCTATTCAGTTTATTTCTATAGCTCCAATCCACATCCTGTGGGAGTGTCTGGGACGTTTGTGGAGGATTGAAGAAGCTGGATAGTTCAGCAGCAGACAAACCTTCACCCTCCTAAGCAACTGGTGATGGTAAATATCAGCTTGGACATTGATTCTACTTATCCAGTACACAACTGGGTTGCTATGACAACCCATCAGCATCTTGGTTTGCTTTGCTAGCCCCGTACTTTATCTGAAGTTGATTGATTTTATGAAATAAAACAGCATCCTGCTCCAATTTGCTAGTATTTAGAAGAAAATGAAATTAATTTGAAATTAATGGATTATATACGTATGTGTGTGTGTAAGGAAATAAAATATGTTTTGCACATTCATGAGCCGTTAATGGGTTTTGTTTACCTGTTGATAGCAGAGCTGAGCTCCTCCAAGCGTTTTGCATCCACCATGGAGCTGTTGTCCAGTTTGGACAGGGTGTCCATCCGCTTTAGAATCACCTCCAACATGTCGCTGATCTTCTTCAGCACGCCGCGTGACTCCACACCCCCCAGCACTGACGGGAAAGAAGAACACAGAAGGAAAGATAGAAGGTTAATGAAAAGCTGCCTTTGGCTCAACATTCATAACTGGCTAATATGTTCTGGTTTTGGAGAAGAGCACATCCAGTTAGTCACAGTCAGAGAAACAGGAATATACTTTCCACACTAAAAATAAAAATATACACGTATTTAAGAAAAATATTTTTAATTGGAGTCATACGAAGACCATTTAAAAATGTAGATCGGCTGACAAATCACTTTGTAAAGTGAATTAAGCAATTTTTCCCATGACTAAGCAGTGATGCTAGATTAGAGAAAAATTATTTATATTGAGCTCATTTGGGAATGTCCATTTAAAAATGTATCCATACAATAGATGACAAATCAGTTTGTAAACTGAATGAGCAATTAATTCGTTTTTGCACCAGTTAGTCTTTGTTTTAGTGTGTCTCACTCTGAAGGCGGGAGATCAACATCATCATAAGGTGCATGATATGGGGAGTGGAAAAAACCTTTAACTCTTTCACATATTTCTGCTATAACAGGCCGGTACATATAGGTATTTGTGACAAACACCAGATGACACTTGTCATGAAACGAGGACAGATGGACCCAGTATTCAAGGAGAGACAGTCAGTAGGAAAGTTCAAAACGTTTATTAAATAAACAAAACAAAAACTAAAGTGGAGCTGTGGCTGGTGGACACAGCAGGCGGCGAGGCGGGGCACCGCCCAATCTCAGACACTCTGGTTTAACAGTCCAGACCAAGAATGTCTCCAAGTGCTGCAGTCCCAGAGGACATGCTGGAAGCCGATCCTGGTCAGGGATCCAGATCAGACAGGAACAGGATCCAGATCAGGCAGGAACAGAACAGGTGGCAGGATCCAGACTCCCAGGAGGGTTCAGAGTCTGACTGGGACCAGAAGCATGACCAGGTGGTCACGCACAGCAGCAGACAGGATCAGGTGCAGATGAGCAGGCTCAGTGGAAGAGGGGAGCCGAGACAGGACGTGGAACCAGAACTTGAAGCAGGACTTTAAACTGGTCTCCTCCCTGGAACCAGGCTTACTGGATAAAAACTGAACCTCCCCCCATATTGAGCCAAAAACCCAGAGGACTCCGCGGGGGAGGAACAGTGGACGATCAGGAGACGAGACAAACACAAAAACCCTCTTTCCACTGGCTGCTAGGATCCAGGACACGAACCATGAACTAAAACTGAACAGACAGACTGACAGACAAGTAATGATCTGGCCCTGAATGCTCAGACTGAACTGAATATAAACCAGAGGAAACAGGTGAGAGGAATAAATTATAATAGAGGCAGGGAGGGAAAACGGCAGGTGAGAGGAATGACTAATTAAGGGAGAGCAAACAGGCCAGATCATGACAGACACATGCTACTGATCAGTTGTCCAAAGACGTGATTAAAGGAAATCTCAGATTTGTCCTGCTGCTTAACAATTTCTCCATCAGCCTCGTTTATATTTCTCCTCACAAAGTCAAACCAACAGCAACACGTTTGTCTCTATTGTCTTCAGAATCATCCAGCTGTCATTGGTATAAACTGCACCATTTTCCCTAAAACATGAAGGACGATGGGCTGCTCAGTGGAGCAGAGGGTAGCACTGCTGCCTTGGAGCAGGAGGATTCTGGGTTCTATTCCCCGGCCCGGGGTCTTTCTGTTTGCATGTTCTCCCCGAACATGCATGGGTTCTCTCTGGGTGCTCCGGCTTCCTCTTACAGTCCAAAAACACGAGGGATTGCTGAAGAGTCAATGAATCGATGCAATCAATTGGTTTCCTTAGATAGAAAACTTTAAGTCAATCGGACTGGATGATCTGGTGAACTGGAAAGTGACCTGAGATGACATGATGTGAATTGGAGCTATAGAAATATATTGATAGAATTGAATGGTTAATTGGGTTCGCTAAATTCTCCTTAGGTTTGCGTGTGTGTGCGCATGGTTGTGTGTCTCTGTGTTGCCCTGCGATGGACTGGAGACCTGTCCAGGGTGGACCCCGCCTTAAGATGATATGATGTGAATTGGAACTATAGAAATAAACTGAATAGAGTCTTTAAATAGTGTACCATTTTGACTCCTCACATATTTGGGTTTCATTTTATAATATTTATAGAACTTTGTCATTCACTAACTCCTCTCTCATACTGAGCTGTAATGTTGCATCCGTTTCCACAACAAAAACGGACTTATTGCAAGAACGTTGAAAACAATATTTGAAACAAAGATAATAGTTTTTTGTTAGAGGAAAATGGTTGAAATTAGTCCAGAAAGGCAAAGCTAAACAAAAAAAATCAGCTTTTCAAAATAAGCATTAGTTTTTTTAGATTGATCGTCTGTTACTGTATTTTAAAACCTTCCCCTTCTCTGGCTGGAATGCTCACTGTTGTCCCTAAATAACATCATCAGATCAAACCTGGTCATATAGTCCAAACTCCAGGACACAAAGAGGCCAGTAAATCCCCTCAGTGCATTCAGAGCAGCCTGTATTGATTCACTGAGAGGCCCCTCTGACAATCCCACGTCTATAGCTTGACAAGTAATTCCAGTCAACGGGCCCCGGGGTCTAAGAGCTACTGCACAATGCCGCTGTCTATCCTAAAACCCAGCAGCAGGACAGATCTTAACGTCAGTGAGTTATCACCTCCATGCTCATCTGAGACGGACAGAATCACATCTAGCTGGTAACAGATTGCTCTGTCAGAGCCGCCTTGGAAACCTTTATTACTGCCTGTTGTAAAGCTGACAGTCATTCCAACTTTAGCTGTGATCATCCTTAGGATGCTAAAATGACTAAATACTAAGCCTTATCCAGTTTTTAATTTCTAACCTCTTAAATAAAGCACAGATATTAAGCAATAGTCTTGATCTAGAAGCAATGGCTGAAAACAACATCTATATAGTAATTGGTCAGTTTTATAATAACATTTTTAAACTGTTTAGGGCAGAAAAAAAAAACATATTTTCTGTTAGGGTGTGTTTTTAGGATGCTTTTTGTACCCATAGAATTTGTTATATATTATATAATCATTGTTTATACAAAGCTTTCAAATGGCTTAGTTACTTTAAACAAGTTAGAGTGGCTCAGGTTATCCTGATCTATCTCTATAGTTCTGCTGCTATAGGCTTAGACTGCTGGAGGACATAGGGACCCCTTTTTCATCATTCTGCTTCCTTCTATCTCTATTCTCCCACTCTGCAGAATCTGTTAGTTCAATCTCTAACGTTCTGCTCTCTCTGCTTTTTCTCATAGTAGCTTCATCTTGTTAGGATTCCAGTTTGTGTGGGTTGTTTTTGTGTTTTTCTTCTCTCCACCACCAGATGGTGCTGTTCTCGTTAGGCCTCCTTGCACACCTGCGGCTCGTTGGGTCTTTACCAGAGGAGTATTTGAGCAGCAGGCTGTCACCACCTCGACGCCAGAGTGTTTGCCAGTGTTGGGTACTGTGTGTTGGCCAAACTGAGATTAGCAGAGTCTAACCTAAGCCTTGTCTCTCTAAACTTGCTTTGTCTTTGTTCTTCGGCAGGAAGCCTTCCTGTATCACTGGATAAGCCTGGACCTTCTACCCCTGGAAGGATTAACTGAGTCACACTGAGCAAGGGGAAACCTCCACATGATCTATTCAAGTCCATTTCTGGAAAACCAAGTGACAGTCCGCTCCTTTACTCCTCTGGGTCCAACGTTAGTCTGCCCGTCTGCTCTCCAACGAGTTCATTCTTCTCTGGATTTAACCTCACAAACTGGATCCAAGGAATAACCAAGAGCCCCCCCCCAAAACGTGAGTGCCTCTAAAGAAATATACAAGCCTCTGTCTTTTTCCCCACGGTCCCTGAACTGATCATTGTGATCTCCCCTTTAGAGTTTCCGGTTCACCAGTCCACTGAGGTCCAACAGTATTACCCAGCAGAATATCTCTCTCCATCTGTGTTTTTGCTAATCCTCAATAAACCAGTTAACTTTTTCCCCTGGTCTCTGAGTGTTTCTCTGCATGTGGGTCAGATCTTTAACGCCCACTATGACACATCTGGTCTGTTCCTGTTTGGCTGTGACTCCATCCTGGAGAGAAATATCAGCTGTGCTGCTGCCATCAACACCTTTGTTTCTAGATGTTGGAGCTTGGCCTGTTTTCCAGTGTAGTCCTGTTTCTCTGACTGTGACTAACTGGATGTGCTCTCTTCATCCTCTGACATGGGAGCTGGCTCGGAGCTCGTCTGCCTGGCTGTGTGTTTCCTGGACGGGGCCGCCTGTGGAGCTGGTTGACAGCTGCCTTTTGTATCTATGCTTCTTTTTCTATGTCTGCTTCTGTCTCCTTGAACCCCAGTGGGCCTCAGCAGATGGCCGCTCACACTGAGCCTGGTTCTGCTGGAGGTTTCTTCCTGTTCAAAGGGAGTTTTTCCTCTCCACTGTCGCTACAAGCATGCTTAGTGTGAGGGATTGCTGAAGAGTCAATGAGTCGATGCAATCAGCTGGTTTTCCTTAGATAGAAAACTTTGAATCAATCTGACTGGATGATCTGCTGAACTGGAAAGTGACCTGAGATGACATGATGTGAATTGGAGCTATAGAAATAAACTGAATAGAATTGAATTGTGGTGATTTAATTGAGAAAAAATAAAATATTTCACTCTGTGCTTAGCTGAAAAATCAGCAACAATATACAACAGATAAATAAAGTACATAGAAAAGAAGAAGAAAGCAACTGAAAAGGACAGAAGTGTCACCATTCAGGTTTTCTCAGGGGAACCTTTGCAACTAACGTGAAACAACAGAAGCACAACAAAGCAATAATAAATGCTGACTAAGCTGTCATTTCACACACATAGGAACACACTGAGAACTTAATTATTTAAGGTATTTTAATCTTCCTTCTCTCCAATAGGGATTCTAGTCTAAAGGAACAACTCCTCCAAAGCGCACATTATTTGGATGATAAAACAGACTGATGAGAAGCGCAGCATGCAGTAGCAAATTAATTTGGATCTGAGAACTGTTCC